TGTCACAAACGCTGGCGCCGCGAACGATTCCACTTAATTCTAGGAGTTCCTCACTACACTAAGAACTCTTTTGACCTTTTCCACCTATGGCGACAACATTTCCTTTTTCCACTGCATCCTAATCAATCGATAGTTTCATCTCTATCCAAATTCAAACGCTTTAATCGTTTCTTTTGATGCGTCGCCTGATTAGCGACTGCCACAAAGCGCACTTTTTCCGATGCGTCCCTTTGCCTCCGCCTGTCCTACCTTCGATCGTCCCCAGAGTGTGGTTTTCGTAGGTTTGTTCACTCTTCGTAAACTGATTACGTTGTCTGTATTTATGTTGGGAAGGAATGCAAGAACTTACAATGACGCTGCAATAGACATTCAGTCATGCGTTGATTTCATTCACCAATTGTGTAAGGGAGTGAGGGATACCGTAGTGGCCGTGTAGCATATCACTCGCATGATTCATGTGCAAGCTCGTAGTGGCAGGCAAGGTAGCAATCCTTCAAAATTTCTACTGGTGAAATTTTCAGTGGGAAATGAAGTGCAGAGTACTTCAGTTTGAAGGTAACACAATGTGAAAGGTTGGTAGCGCAACCTCCGGGCATCCAAGCTCAGACTGTAGTCCATCCAGGCCGGCCAAGCTCCGCATCCCTCCAACGTCGGTCAAAGGGTCTGAATGGGAGCCCTGACTTGTGCAACAGCACCGCAGGCTATTATAGAGGCCACCTTTCATGCAGATTCCCACTGCGATTTTGAATGGAAATAGGATGCGTGACGCATCCTTATACGTTGAATGCTTTATCTTTTTGAAATCTGGAGACATAATAGTGGTAACCATGTATATTTGTTGCTGCTTTCTGTGAAATGACGGCATCTCCTGGCGGCTTACAGTCCAAGCTTGCAGTGGCGATATCAAGAGGATTTGATGATTTCTCTCCTACACCGCCAAGAGCAGCTGAAAAAAATATTACAGGACGTTGAAACACACATAAAACCTCATTTGGAGCCTAATTCGGCATAAGGGCGTGATCCACGCGATCAAGCCTACTTCTAAAGGGTCTGGCTTTTCCAAGGCTCTTCAAAAGACCTATTTGTGCATCTTCTGGCTCACAAAAACGATTTGTATAGGCGAATTCGCAAGGGGGGGGGGGTAGAAACAGAGTTTGTGCACCAGGCAATTTGCAGGCATTTCTATAGCACAAATACGCATTCAGTTATCAGTATTGAACGAGGGCAAACGCAGTGAGCATCTAAAAAAGTGGATTTTTTTTTGATAATGAAACATAACTGACTGGCACTGATAACCACCACTGCAGTGTTTGTTGAACACACGAGTGCACTTTCCTGTGGGTTGTCCTTTGCACTTCTTGCAAAACTCCGGGCAGTCCTTCCACATTATGCCTGTCGCAAACTGAAACAGCCAGCTGTGATAATTTTCTTGACTATAAATAGTCCAGCACTCTTATTCAATCCGTAGCAGGATCGACTATTTGGAAGGTCTCTTCAAATAGACATTTGTGGAAATCACGGGAACTCATGTTTTGGGAGGGAGCGGACTGAAGAAATGGGACGGAAGAACACAAGAAAATTGTTCTGGTATATGAAATTAATTTCAGAAAAAATTAAGGAGTTTTTACATAAAATTTCATAAATGTCCTAATTTTTCACCTTGTATCCTACTAGGAAAATTCCTGTACTTGATCAACCGAAAGTCGTCTGAACTGATCACTAGAGACAAACACAAAACTTCGCGCTTAAGAAGCTTAGGGTTGAAGAGAAACAAACTTACAAATACTACATTCTATGAACAACCTATGGTACAGGGTGCGTCAAAATCACGCGCTCACATATCCACCATTGTAAAAACAGTAAAACAACAGATTGAATGGTGGAGTGAATTTTTTACAAGTACAGTGTGCTTTTATATAGCTGCCGAGTTAGATGTAATTGTAAGTTCTGAGACTCCAAGAGATAGTTTTTCTTCCGATGCTTCTCGGAGGCAGGGCTCCCTTTGCTCGGTAGATCGTAGTGCTGTGGTAGTTTTGCAGTTGTTTATGTGAGGCAGGGCTTTGTGCGCGGGCTGTACCTGTGGGGTGTCTCCCACCGGGAGAGTATGTCGCATTGATGATTCGTATCATCGAGGGTACTGTGATTTGGGGTGTGGGGGCCTTTGTTCTGTGTTCGCTCGGAGTCTATGTAGGATAGCTGTTGGTGCGGGAATGACTTGTGCTGGTGTTTCGGTGGGGAATCTGCGATTGAGTCTGGGTGATGTCCGCTCGTGACAGGTGGTGGTTTTTGTTCCGAGGGGTTAGTAGTCGGAGGGGTGGGGGTGTTGTTCTGGGCTGACTGCGTTCAGAAGTAGTTCTTTGCTTCGGCTTGGGGTGTGTGATTTGAATGATCTCGGTCGTCGACTGTTAAAAGTTCGCTATTTATCGGGGGTTTTGACATGGCTGTTCCGGTGGAGTGTGTGTTGTAGTACGTCGCCCTATAACCGAGGGTGAATTTTTCTTCGGCGTTCGCTATTGCTCGCGGAGATTGTTGTTCGCTCGGGAGATTGTAATTCTCCGCTTTGTCTCGGGTTTGGGGGGTTGCAGGCATGTCTGTGAGGGAGAGCAGTGCTGATTCGTGTTCTGACGATTTTATGTAAGGGTGTACATCGACAGGTCGATGGTGAGGCGTAGAATGTTCCAATCAGGAGACAAGACTTATGTCCTGGTGACGGCGCCAGCGGCGCCGTCCCTCACGTTTGAAGGCAGTGTGCAATGGACGCTATGTAAATAAACTGAGTCCTAAACTGGAAAATGAGTCCTCGATCTGTTATTTTACCGTTTTTACAATGGTGGATATTTGAGCGCGTAATTTGGCGCACACTTTAGGTCGCGTGAAACAAGGGAAGGCATGGAAAAGTGTGCCTTGGGGTAATGCGTTTCAGGCGACGCAATGAAACAATTCAGTTGAAGCGTTCGAGGATAAAGTAGAAGTGTGAGATGTCAGTGCAATAAGTCAAAAGGTCAAAAAGAGTTTCTAGTGACAGCACTCCGAGAACCAAGTGGAAGCATTCCGCCGCCAGCATTTGTGACAGATGTCCGGCGGGAATTTGAACGCGTAGCAGTCCTTCCCGTTTTCGAATTGTTACCAAATCAAATGCTTTCTTCTTGTTCTTTGTTTTTGTTGCTTTGTTTTTTTTGTTTTTGTGACTGTCTCCTATCCCTCCCCCAAGCTGACTCGTCCCCAGCCGCTGACTCTATCCTAAGGTTGGTGGGACAGGGCTGCGTCATAGGACCAGTACTCTGCATTTTTAGATTGCAGACAGTGCGACCCCTCAGAGAAAGGGTGCCTCAACATGGAGGGGGTGGCTACAACATCATGCGTTCAATGGACGGTCCTATGACGCAACCCTGTCTCCCCAACCTTAGGATAGAATCAGCGGTGGGGGACGCGTCCCTTTGGGAGGAATAGAATACAGCCCCAGGTCTACTTCTAACGGTCAGATTACGATAGTATGGATCGAAAGGGGTTCGTATGAGGACAGCTGCTGACACCATAAATTTGTGAAAGCATTTGCTGACCCTGTTCTGGACTTGTAGTTCAAGATTTCCGGGTAAATATACAAAGAAAAACTGAACAAACCGATGTGGCAGGTGTGCAGCGACTCCAGTTGTCATAGCAATTGCATTCGGAAATGTCGACAGTCACGAGAAAGAGCAGTAGTGCGACCAGCCAACGATTCATTGTGAGCACTGAATAAAGTCATAGATTTCAGAAACCTAAATAAAACC